CCATCTCTCTCTCTTTCACCACATGCATCGGAGGAACATCTACTGAGTGAAAGATGCCCTCTTGGCTCCCAGCCAAGAGAGGACAAAGGGACTGTCTTCTTAAGAGATAGACTCCAAATGTATATTACTTCACTAAGCTTAAGTCTGCCTTCTGGGATCTGATTGTGAACAGAATGTGAGTAAACTCTTTTTATACTTTTGTAAAAGACTGTGTTGTCTCTTCTATTTTATGAGGGAATAAGGGGAAATTACCAGAATAGTTATTATAGAGGCTTAAGCGAGCCTGGGCAAACGCTGCCGTGGCAAACTTAAAATAAAGGGGAATATTTTACTCTGCTGAATTTGGGGAACTTGTTAACACAAGTTGGATAAGGATATAATCAGACAATATATCCTCTCCTGCATCCGTGAACATTCCCACACACCCGCATCCCTTATTCGACCTTACACCACGTTTTTCCAATTTTCCAGCACCCAACCCCCCCAAAAAAAACAAACAAACAAAAACAAAAACAAAGAAAAGAAGAAATAGCATACTCGTCATCTTTCTCTGCAAGATGACCAAAACAACGGCTTTTGCTTTGTCTGGACATTTCACTTCCTTTTGGATTTTTCGATGGATTTGCATGCACAGCCAAAAAACACGAAACCAATCCAAATAAAGCTTATTCGTATTTTTCTATGCAAATAGAAGCAAAATCAATGAGTTTTCGTTTGTTTGGGATTCTTTATGAAACAAAAGAGCTCTGTTGAAAACCCTCCTTTGTTTCGTTTGGGCTTCTTTCACCGCTTTGTGTTTTTTGGGTGAATATGCATTCACACCTAAAGAACCAGAAACCATGAAATACACCCGAATAAAGCTTGTTCTTTCTATGCAGATGGAATAAAACATAACCAGTTTTCCTTTGCTTGGGATTCTCCCTTCGCTTTGCGATTTTTGGGTGCACAGTGAAAGAACCTGAAACCAAGAGAAAGATAGAATCATAGAATCATAGAGTTGGAAGAGACCACAAGGGCCATCGAGTCCAACCCCTGCCAAGCAGGAAACACCATCAGAGCACTCCTGACATATGGTTGTCAAGCCTCTGCTTAAAGACCTCCAAAGAAGGAGACTCCACCACACTCCTTGGCAGCAAATTCCACTGTCGAACAGCTCTTACTGTCAAGAAGTTCTTCCTAATGTTTAAGCGGAATCTTCTTTCTTGTAGTTTGGATCCATTGCTCCGTGTCCGCTTCTCTGGAGCAGCAGAAAACAACCTTTCTCCCTCCTCTATGTGACATCCTTTTATATATTTAAACATGGCTATCATATCACCCCTTAACCTTCTCTTCTCCAGGCTAAACATGCCCAGCTCCCTTAGCCGTTCCTCATAAGGCATCGTTTCCAGGCCTTTGACCATTTTGGTTGCCCTCCTCTGGACACGTTCCAGTTTGTCAGTGTCCTTCTTGAACTGTGGTGCCCAGAACTGGACACAGTACTCCAGGTGAGGTTTGACCAGAGCAGAATACAGTGGCACTATTACTTCCCTTGATCTAGATGCTATACTCCTATTGATGCAGCCCAGAATGCATTGGCTCTTTTAGCTGCCGCGTCACACTGTTGGCTCATGTCAAGCTTGTGGTCAACCAAGACTCCTAGATCCTTTTCACATGAAAAGAAAGCTTATTCCTTTTCACATGAAAAGAAAGCTTATTCCTCTTTCAGCTATGCATATGGAAGCAAAAACAACGAGTTTTCCTTTCTTAGGGATTCTTTCACTTCGCTTTGCTGTTTTTGTGTGCAAGGCCAGAGAACCTGAAACCATGTCAAAGCCCAATCAAAGCTTATTCATTATTTTCTTTGCAAGGTGACAAAAAACAATGGCTTTTGCTTTGTTTGGACTTTTCGTTTTGCGATTTTGGGGTGAATATGCGTACACAATCAGAACACAAGTTAAATAAACGTCTTTATATGCATATGGGTGTGCATATTGAAACAAAGTGAACCTGTTTTGCTTTATTTGGCCTTCTTTGTTTTGCCATGTATGGGTGAATATGCGTGCACACCCAAAAACCCGAAACCAAGATAAGCCCAAACAAAATTTATTCGTCTTCTTACGACGCATATGCAACAAAAAACAGCCTGTCTCTCTCTCTCTCATTCTCTCTCTTTCCCCTTCTCTCTCTTCCTTCCCTCTCTCTCTGTCCTTCCTTCCTTGCTTCGTCCTTCCTCCCTTCTCTCTCTCTCTTTCCTTCCTTCCTTCGTCCTTCCTCTCTTCTCTCTCTCTTTATCTTTCTCTCCTCTTTCTCTCTCTTCCCTTCAATCTTTCTCTCCCTATCGCTTTCTCTCTCTCTCCCTTCCTTCCATTTTTCTATCCCCATCCTTCCATCTCTCTTCTCTCTTTCCTTCCTTCTCTCTCTCTTTCTCTTCCTTTTTTTTCCTCTCTCTCTCCTCTTCCTTCCTTCTTTCCATCTCTCTCCCTTCCTTCCATCTCTCTCTCCCCTTCCTTCCACCCTCTCTTTCTCTCTCTCTTTCCCTTTCTCCCTTTCCTCTTCCTTCCTTCCTTCTCTCTCTCTCTCTCTCCTTCCTTCCATCTATTTTTCCTCTCTTTTCCCCTTTCTCTCCCCTTCCTCTCGCTCTCTCCTCTCTTTCTCCCTCCAATTCTCCCTTTCTCTCCCTCTCTCTTTCTTTCCTTTTTCTCTTTCTCTCACCCCTTCCTTCCTTCCTGCGCTCATTCCTTCCCTCTCTCATTCTCTCTCTCACCCCTTCCTTCCTTCTCCTGAGCTGTTGAAGGCTTTCTCCATTAGAAGTAGCCCTTGGAATTGGGTGCAGCTGGTGCTGTCAAGGTAGGATCTGTGTCAGATGCTGAATCTGTCTTGCCCCGGTTAGCAACCTGGCTGCCAACTTCTGCACTGGCTTAAATGTCCAAAGCGTCTTTGGAGGCAGCCGAAGCGTCTTCGGAGGCAAGATGCGGACCTTGAGGCTGTCCAGCTGTCACGGCTTTCCCTGTCCGGGGGGGGCAGCTGGGTCTCCAGTCGAAGTGGAGGGAAGGCCACAGAGGCCCCCGGCCTCAAGCAAGGACCCTGAAGCAAGGGACTCCCTCCTTCCGACAAAGGGTCAGCCGAGGAAGAGCTGCCCACTAGGGTTGCCTTATGATGGGCAAGAGAGCGAAATCATTCAAGGATGAGGCACAGAGAATTTCCTTTAGACTTCTTTCTAGTTTTGCCAAGCCTGCTCCTGTCCCTCTAATAGGAGACTGATCTTCAGATATCAGAAAGTCAAGCTTTGGCTGGCTATAAATTATTGGGTTGTCTTTGTTTTTATTATGTATTTTGTGTTTTTTTATTTTGTTTATCTGATGCTGTGAACTGCCCTGAGATTTATGGGTAAGATTTATGGGTATACAATTGTTGTTGTTGTTGTTATTTTGTAAACTTCAAAAAAAGAAGCCAGGGCCGTTTGATAATAATCTGCCAAAATAACGGTTAGCAACCAGAGGCAGCTAGTTTTAATGGTCTTATCAGATCTTCTTCTCCATCTTTTTCAAATATTTCTAATCTTTCAACTCTTTCCAATCCTCAGTGGGAAAAGAAAATGAAAGCTCACCTCACCAGTGTTTCTAGGGGACCCAAGCACCTGGAGGTCACAGCATTATGGGTGAAAGGATGTCAGTGGCAAGGAGGCCTGGGACAATGGGCCAGGTGTTTGCATGTGCCCCCCCCCCCAGTTCAACTACGGCCTCCACTGGGTTTTCCAGAAGCCATGCGAGATTTTTCAGCCAAGCAGGTCAAGACAATGTTATTATTACATTGATTAAACTAATTTTATTAAATTTCTATGACACCCCTCATTGGGGGATCATATGCTTGTTTCACCTCTGCACTCTAAGTTATGGGTGGCCTTTCTCTCTTGCCAGCATTGTATATTGGAAACAAAAAATGCCCAGTTTGAAATTATTATTATAATTATTATACATTTATTTGTACCCTGCCTTTTTCCCTGATGGGAACCCAAGGCAGTTTACGGATGAAAAGAAGACAAGCTAAAACCTGGGCGGGGGATCTACAATTAAAAAGCAATTAAACACTGATAGAATTAAAACTGTGTGTGTATACATATAAATATCTTGTAAAAGCAAACTAATAATGGCAATAAAAACAGCACAGCAGAAGCCCTTTCATTAAAAGCACATTTTTATTTTATATTGATGTATACTTCGCTAATTGTAGAGTTGGAAGGGACCCCAAGGGTCATGCAGGAATCTTTCGCGCAACATGGGACTCAAACCCATGAATCTTGGTCAAAATTTTAGGCCTTTATAGTGCAATCCTATACACATTCTCTCAGAAGTTCTTTGAAGTTCAGTGAGTTTGATTCCCAGGCATAGCCCCGCAGCCTTCCAGCAAAGGCTCCTCTGTGTGTTGGAATATATATATATTTATGTAAAGTATTTTGTACTTCTTTGATTTTACCACCCGAGGGATTGATATAGGCACAAAAGGCCTTATGATCTTCAGATGGACAGCAACTCCGTTGAACCTGTGTTCCTGTGGTGGAATCTAAAAATGAAAACACTTTTTCAAAAAAAAGGTGTTTTGAAGAATATATTGAATTTGCCATAACCTCACAATTGCCATCTAGTGTCACATTTGTATAATGCACCTTCAAACATTATATTTGCAGCCGTAGAGCTGAGTCTGGTGTCCTGGGCAAGGGTGGTTGGGATCCCAGGGTAAATATAAGGCGCAAGATCTTCTAGCACCACAAGTTTTTGCAAGTGGTCTCTATGAAAAGCCAGTCATGTGTTGTGCTGAGACATGTGCTGAGACATAGTTTAGGGGCAAACTACAGTTCCCATGATTCTTCGGGGGTGGAGTCATGTGCTGTAATGTTATGCCATGTCCACAGCCACTAACCGCAACAAAGAGGAATACTTTCTGGTGAATTTTCCTTAAATTGTCTCGTCTCAATTATATTTTTAGCATTTCTCTTGAAATTTTTTATTGATTTGACATTTGTTTTAAATACAGAACGTAATCCAGTGTTTAATCCAGAAGCCGGCCAGCTTTGGTGGAAAGATTAGCAGAGCAAATATTAGCACTGCTCGATCCAAGGAATACTTGGAGGCTTTTAAACCAAGCCCGGTCAGAGAGCAGATACTGTACGGTGTGAAAACCCCTATGAAGAAAAAGAGAAAGGTCAGAGCACTTTCCATTGGGAGTTTCCCAGTTTGGGAGAGAGCAGGAAAGCAAAGGTCCTTTTGTAGTCCAACCCTCTGCAAGGGAAGAATCTTTTGCCCCTCAAACCCAGGACTTTGAGATGGAAAGTCTCCTGCTCTGCAGACTGAGCTGTCCCAGTGATTTTCAGCGTCTGGGCATGCGCAGAAGCAATTTCCAGAGCCGCAGACACGCACAGATGTGATTTCTGTGGGAGTGATCTGGCCCATGGCCCTGGGTTAGGGTTAGGATTTTGTTAGGGGTAGAGTTCCCTTCTTGCCAGGGAACCCTGGGAACATGGGGCTCAAAGGATGGCCCTGAGATTAAGAGTCTTGTGCTCTGCCCAATGATTGATCTAAATAACAATATTGTTATTGTTATTGTAAATATTGATTGATCTAAATAACAAACACTATTTTTTATTATTTAATAATTTACAGTGATGTAAAATAAAGGGCAATATAAATAAATAAATAAATAATCCCTCAACTGCCAAAACAAATGGTCTTGTAGCACTGTAAAAACGTAACAGATTTTGGGGAAACTTTTTAAGAGGGGGCCTTGGTGAGTGCTAAGAGGGTGCCATGGAGTCCACGTGCCACCCTGGGAACCTCAGTCTGGACCCTAATGATGAAGCAAATCACCAGTCCCTACATAATGGGAATGCCATGTGTAACATTAACCCCACAAGAGAGGTTGGTCTTTGTTCTCGCCTGGGAGCGGAGCGATTGAGAGAGTGAGGAGGTGCAGGCTCCCAGAGTGAGGAGGTGAGAGATGCTCCCAGGTTGTTCTTGTTGCAGTTCAAAGGCCTGGGACGTGCCTCCTTCGCATCCAGCTCCCCAAGGCCACTTTGCACGACACCCACCTCCCAAAGAAGAGAATTACAGAGTCTCATGTGCCTTCCATTTCGGGAGAAACTTCTCAAAGGAATATTTGCTCCCTTACAGGTTAACGGGTGACCTCTCCCTTCTGTTTTAGCTGATTCTGGAAAAACAAAACACCATGGGTAAAATTTTCTGTGCTGGATTGTTGATATTCTCCTGTGTTTTGGCAGCTGAGTTTATCAGAGTGTTAAATACATTTATCCCAGCAACACAAATGAGGGATGTGGTTATTTAGCAAACGCAGGGGAGTTTTCCTATTTGTTCCTATTTCCTATTTGTTCTTTGACTGTTTGTGCATTAAATTGTGCAAAGATGTGATTTCTCCAGGCCAATGAGACCTGGCCTGGAGAAAGTGGATAGAGGAAAGTTTTTCTCCCTCTCATAACGGTAGAACTCACAGAGCTGGACGCTGGAAGATTCAGGACACATCAAAGAAAGGAAGTACTTCTTTACAAAGCGCACATTATGGAACTTCCTGCCACAAGAGGCAGTGGTGGCCACCAACTTGCAACTTCCGCTCAGGATTTTCCCCAGGGTAAGCCCCATTTCAGCCAGCATACTCTGCACCCTTCTCAAATGCTTTGGCCTGGTTGGGAGGTTTCCTGGTGTTAACGGAAAATTTCGAGGGCTCCCTTGGACAAAAACAAAGACACCAACCAGGATAACTTGGAGCAAAACAGCAGCCTGTAGGCTTGGCCTTTATTGATCTGTTGCAACAGGGTGCTCCCCTCACTTGCAGGAGAGAGGAAGGACCCAGAAAAATGGTGTGCAAGACCTTATAAAGACTTTTGAAATTGCCACCTTGTAGATCAAGGACACCCCCAGAAACATACATCACAGAAAGGAGGGGTTGAGGGAGGAGTTGTGTCCTGTCTCTTGGCTGGTTCCCCTTTCCTCCCATGTGTACTTTCCAGGTGACAGAGGGGAGTTTGCAGTTTCCTGCCCCCAGAGGGAAGAGCTGATTATTGTTCTTTGTTCCAGTCGGTGCCGAATCCACTCCCATATGCAAGTTCTTTGTGGTCTTGATGGTCTTCTGTCTAGGACCATCAGGGTTGGCATAGCAACTGGGCAGGGCTCCTGTGTATGTGCTGGTATGCTGAAGGGATTATGGCTGCCCTGTATCAAACCTTCCCCATTTTGTAGTCCTTCCTTCATGGAGTAAAATAAAAGTGGAACAGTGCAAATCCGATGTATGGTTGATTTTCTATAAATTTATAACAGAAGTGTAGCGTATGTAGTGTGTGTGTGTGTGTGTGTGTGTGTGTGTGTGTGTGAAGTTTGTACAAACTGAATGATTGGGGGGGGGGGGGTTCCTGCGACACTGGTAACCCCCACCCTTCTGGTGGTGCCAATGTTCCCCTGGCCTTGAATGCCCCCTTGACCGCTCACCGCAACCCCGTTCATCTCCACCGTTGCCACAGTCCTCAGTGCGGGCAGGGGCCACGCAGCCGCTTGGCAGGCACGGCTCACTTGGGGCGCAGCTCCAGGGACCTGGAAATGTTGGGAGGATTAATGGGTTGCCTCCAAGCAATCTATCTGGTTGGCCAGGTTTTGGGGAGGCGGAAAATAAAGCTTTACTTTGGGGGCGACAGTTCCTGAACTACACGTTGTCCAGTGCCACACTCATCACCGAGAAGGTCACCTGCGCTCTTGACATGCTCCAGATAAGGAGCGGCCGGGGAGGGTGAGGAGCCCAAGACCCACCTGGAAAGCACTGCGGATTCTTCCGGTGTAGGCCAGCAGGGGGCGCCGGGCACCTGAGGGTGACGCAGGGCTTTGCCACAGGGGACAATCTGGCTTCCGAGGCTCAGCTCCACTGGGAAGCTCCTGTTGAGTCCTGCAGGGTGAGGAACCAGGGGTCATCTAGCCTGACCCTTGCAGATGGGAACCATAGATATATAAACATTTTTATCGGTCAGCTGCCAGGAATCCCAAAGGGGGACGGGAAGCAGGGCATCAGTAAATTTCATGATAAGAATGATATTTCATTATGCCGGCCCTACCAGGCGGGTCAGTAGTCTGGAAATCAATAAATAATAATTATATGATATCACCACGGTATGTCCTGCAGCTTAGAAATGTAATATGTGATATCAATATGGAATTACGACAACTGTGCCTCGTGGCATTTCCTCCACACAGGAAAAAAAGGCCAAGCACATGGCTCTGCACCTGTTGGATTTCTGACCACCAGTGCCCCAAGCTTACCTTTCTCGGCCATACTGTACCAGGTGCGGAGTTCACAGGCTGTGGCCGCGTCACTCATGGTCAGGGAGCGGAGTCAGGTGGCTTGGTTCGCTGCTCCGAGGTGCTCATGTACCAGCCTGGTTGGGGGGCACCAGGTCAAAGGGGTGCTCTAACTGCTTAGCAATGCTTCTCTGCCTTTCAAATGAAGCAAGTTTACCCTGGTCAGTGCCCATGCTGACGTCCTCCCAGCTGCAGGCGGTGCCTTCAAAGTCGCAGGCCAAGGCGACACTCGGCGGTGCCAGCCCATTGGTTCCCAGAGTTCAGGGCACCAAGTGCTGTTCCTCCCATGAGCTACAGTTCCCAGAGTTCCCTAGGAAGAGAAATGGGCTTGGGACGGCAAGGAGTTGTATACTGTGGAATGCAAGGACAGATTGTTTACTGTTCAGATGCCACAACCCTCAACACCCAGAGCAAGCAATAGTTCCCAGGGTGCTTTGGGGGGACATTGTGGTAACTGTAGTTTGTTCCGTTTCCCAAAGAGACCCTGTCAGAGCTATAACTCCCAGAGTTCCCTTGGGAAAGGTTGCGCAGAATATTCTCTCCCCCCATAGGAAACTACAGTTCCTATGCTTTGAGAGATGCCGTGATGGGTTAAATACTATCTGCGAGGGGAATTGAAGCACATCTCCTTAATTCCTTTGGTGACGCCAAAACTGGTGTCAATGGATCTTGTCAGATTAATCCCAGCAGTCTTTGGTGACGCCAAAACTTACCACAATGGATCTTGTCAGAACAATGCCAGCAGGCGAAATTGCAGGTGCCAGCACTTAGGTTCCCGGAGGCGGCCCAGCTAGGAAAAAACCGGGGGAAGTGTCATTAAAAGGAGAGGAAGAGAGACAGGGAGCATGGGATACATGAAAGGGGCATCAAGGGGCATCTAGTCCAACCCACTGCAAGGAAGCTCATATGTATTTTAGGGCACTGTTTTGTGAAGTATTCTCTGCTTTTCCCCATGCTTTTGAAACTCTTTGTCTAGTGTGATCTCTAATTGCCTCTGTTAATCTAGCCAGTTCAATATACTCTAACAGTTTGTCTTGCCATTCCGTTTTTGTTGGCACAGCTTCTTTTTCCAGTTTTTAGCAATTAGGATCCTTGCCACTCCTGTGGCATAGAGGAATATTTTCTGATCTTCTCTTGCTATACCTGTGTCCGTTATCCCTAGTAGAAAAGCTTCTGTATTTTTCAGTTATACTAAAACATTTTTTTAAGCTTGTCATAGTGTTTCCACTTTTTTGGAGCAGGAATTCAGCAGAGCCCATACAGACCTGAGAAATATCAGTGGGACAGGTTTCTTTCAGAAAAACTGAAAGAGGGGGTCCATGTAAAAACAGGCATAGGATATATCAAGCTCAAATTGCAGTGCAAGGAGTAATAAAGTACCGTATTTTTTGCCCTATAGGACGCACCTTTACCCCTCCAAAAATGAAGGGGAAATGTGTGTGCGTCCTATGGGGCAAATGCAGGCTGTCGCTGAAGCCTGGAGAGCGAGAGGGGTCGGTGCGCACCGACCCCTCTTGCTCTCCAGGCTTCGGGCAGATATCCGCAAGCCTGGGGAGACCGGCGCGACTTCCTGCCAGGCTCCCAAGGCTTGCGGACAGCAGCCTGCAGCCCGAAACCCGGGGAGCGCAGCCTGGGGGGAAAAATAATTCCCCCCCCTTTATTTCCCCCCCCCCCAAAAAAAAACCTAGGTGCGGCCTATGGGCCGGTGCGCCCTATGGGGCGAAAAATACAGTTTACAGGGAAGTGAGACTACTGTGCCATCATACGACTAACTTAAATGAATGCTATTTCTATTATTTCTGAAGCATTTTCCAAAGAATCCTGTGATGGTCATCAAGTCCAGCTCGCTGCAACCCAGGAATATGCAGGTGTCACAACCTTCTGCTCAAAGGTGATTGAATTTAATTGCTAGATGTTGCACTTTTAAATGACACTTTCAGGGATATTTAGGTATAGGATCCACACCTTCTCCTGCAGCTGCAAGTTATGCCATGAAGGACACCTTGCAATCAGTTTACTGACTGGAAGCAGAGTTTACTGACTGACTTACAGCCTCCCCAGGAGCATTTCAACAGTCAGGAGCAGACCTGAAGCCTTCAGGGTGATTGCACATTGCTAACAACATTTATACCTCCAGCAAAAGGGGGGGGGGGAAATGAGGCTCATGAATGTAGAAAGTGCTTTTCTTTAGAGCACCTCTTAACATTGCAAAGTGCTGCAAGTGTCCAAAACTGGTCTGAAGTTGCTGTTTTGTAAATATTATTTCTGCTTTTGAAAATCTTAACAACACAAATGGCTTTTGGGGCTGCCCACTATAGCAGGGGCTGATCCCCATTTATTCTTGTGGCATTCAATTCAAGGTATGTGTTTTGACTTTACTTGGCTAGTGTGGATAAATCTGGAGGAATTACCTGGTTCCAAAACCACTGATGGAAGCAATGGTTCGTCTGAGCAAATTAAATTTTCAGCACATTGCTTGATTAGGCTCACAAAAGCTGTCTAAGGGTTAAATGCAATAGAGATCTCAAGCCAATTACTTGGGAGTTGCTGAGAAATGGGGAAAGGAGACAGGGCCGGGGGTGTTTCTCCCCAAAATAGAATAAATAAAAAACCTCTACTGTTAAGGGTTAGGGGAGACGAGACTAAGCCCCAAATGTTCTTTTTAGGCATTTTTAAAGGGCTTTACAGCCTTTAAACGCTTCTGGGAGGGAAGGTTATTGGTGTTTTTAAAAACTATTTACAGATATTTCTACCCCGTCTTTTTATCCTGTGAACCGCCAGATAAATCCACTATAGTAAATAACAATAAAAGACAACACCCTGCGTCGCCGTTAATTCGGTTCTGGGCCCCCCCCCAGCCTTTAAAATGAATTTTGACCAAGGGTTCCCCGGCCGCGCATGCAGGCCACACATTTCCCCCTCAACGAAGCAGGCAAAGGGGCAAAGAGGACTCGCCCTCCGGGGCCAGCGGCTACCCGTGGACCGCGAGCTCCGGCTGGTGGCAAACACGGAGAGGATCCTACCTCGGAGAGGAAAGGGTTAGCTAATCCGCCCAGCGATTTGCCCAGATCCGTGAGAAGTTCCGCCTATTGCCGCCGACGTCCCTCTCCCCCCATCTTTCAAAATGGAGGCGCTTCCGGCATCTATTTCCCTGACACAAAATGGCGCCGCTGGCAACAACCGCCATAAATGGAGGCGCTTCCGGATATTAATTCCCTCATCCAAAATGGCTACGGTAACATTATCCGCCCTTTTCCACTTCCGGGCAGCCATTTCCCTCTTCAAAAATGGCACCCGCAGCCTCTCCACAT